GGGCGGGGTTATTGACAGGAAAGCAGCTGAGAGATTGGTCGGAAGTAGGTGCTGAAAGCAGGGGCGGGGTTTGTGGGAGCATGCCGCGATGAGTTCTACAGCTCTGCGTGAATTCGGTGCTGCGGGGAAGTTAGCAGTGTCTTGAATAAGCCACTCCTGCTTCCAGTTCCTACCTCCATACCAGATCATCCCAGCCAGTAATCCCGCCCCCTGCCCTCTTGTCACAGCGCCTGAATCCTAAACCACCGTTCTGACCCCTACCCCGTCCTCTTCCCCGCCCCTCTCCATCCCCGCCTCCACAATACTGCCACCCAGCCATCGCAACCCACCTCTTGACCGGACCGAGCCGAGTTTCAGCAGTTGCCCATTGTCCACATCATTTCTCTGTGCAAGCACGGGAGTCTTGTCTGCTTCCCTGGATTCTCCAGCTGCGGCTATGCTGTCCTGGCCGGCTGACTCGGAGCAGCAGTTGTTTTTCACCGGCACGCCGACGTTCGTTTTCTGGAGTTGAAGTTCGGTCCGCGGGGGATTGGTATTTTTAGGCTTTTTGGTTGCCGGCGAAAATACCCCGGAATTCTGGACTGTTTTTGGAGAAGAGGGTAGTGCAAGGGTCAGGGATTAGTTTCGCTGGGAAAGGCTGTTTAAAAAAAAAAAAAAATTCTAAAAATTCCTAAAAAAAAAACCGAAAACTGCAGAGATTAATTTTATAATTCAAAACAGCAACAGAATTCTTCATTTTTAGTTGAGAAATTTCAGGATTCACTGGACCAGTGAGAGCACTCTTTATATATCTGTAAAGTATAATGAATGCACCAAAAAAAAGAGGCCTGTTGCGAGTTATATCGCGTTCATCCGTACCGCAAGAAATGAAATAGATGGAGGCGAAAAATTGTTGATGCCTTCCTGGATTTTCCTGCTTCTCCAGAAACCCTCTTTCCTGTGCATTTGCTTGTGTTTTTTGTAGCTTTTGGTTTCACGCCATACTCTTTCAGTACTTCTCTCTCACCTTGTTTCCTTAGTGATTTCTTGAAAGCGCCAATGGATTTTGCAGTACTATTCCACAATCCTTGGAATGAATTTGAGGGAGAATCCTTGAAAGCGGTGCAGCTTGTCCTCAAAATGAAGCCACTCTCTTCAGCAACAAATTTTCTGCCCACGCAGGCAGTTTTTCTATCAGATCGTCGTGATTTTCACAGTCGAGTTGCAATATTAATACCCCTACCTGAGCGCGGTTCGTGGTCTGCCAGGTGTGAAATGTAGACCCTGAAGGATTGCTTTACTTTTGCAAAAGCCGGATACTGCTTACTTGCTTTAAAAAAGTCTTTCGAGAGGAGAGGGAGAGAAGTTTAAAAAAAGGAGGAAAAAAACGACTCCCCTCCCCCTCTCCCTCCAAGCTGATTTTGTAAGACTGTAGCTGCTAAGGCACATTGCTGCGCAGTTTCTAATTCCAGGGCGTAATAAAAATATCAATGATATATACATATGTATATATGCATATGTATATATATATGTATATATATACAATGTATATATATACATATATATACATATAAATAAAAGCTCCGATGGAGAGAGGACATGTCGCTCGTCTTGCCGACAATTGTTAGTGGACAATGTGCATTAGTGAGCGGTACTCACAGGAAAATAAGCGACCACTTGGGCGACTGCCAAAGAGAATGGTGCACATACATCGAACAGGTGACGGGTGCTAACTATAGCACACAGCGCAGGATTGAAGAGGTGCGCTCGGCGTGTAGGAGCATTCCAGTAACATCGCTGACAGAGGAATCCTGCACTGATAGTCCGAGCCGTCTTGGTCTTTCCATATAAAAAACTATAAAAATATTTGATTGAGCAAGTGTGTTTGTTTTTTGCATTGGAAGCGAAGTATTGAGAAGGGACGCGCGACTCACATAAGTGAATTTGTCGGGTCAGATTCGTGGAGGACGGTAAAGTATCTTGCTGTTGATGGGCACGTGAAGTTGCAGGTTTGCTGGATGCTACGCGGTGGCTTCTCCCTGGATGCGGCTCTTGTTCTGCTCCTTTTCTGGGCGCACATCACAGCAGCTGTCGACAGGACCGCGTTCAGGCGATGCGAGCAGTCCGGTTTCTGCAAGTGCGTTTTTTTTTTTCTTCATTTGTGATGTATTTACTTGCTGAACTTCTACCTCGCCCCGTAGCAATTCATGCAAGGGGTATCCTATGCAAGGGGGAGGGGAAGGGGGGAAACGTTGTTGTTGGAACGCGCGAAAAAGTGGCGCATTTCTGACATTGCCAGTATTCTTTTGTGTGGGAGAGAAATGATCCTGTTGTTGTTGTTGTTTCAGGAGACACAGGACGCAGGTGGGACAGGTGAAGTATACGGTTAGTGATGTGACACATAACGGGACAGCGCTGATGGCTCGCTTGCAAAGTACCGTGAACACGCTGAGGCTTGTGATCGTGCAGCTGAACGACTCAACGTTACGGTTGCTCATCGATGAAAGTGGGAGCCCCCTGCGGCCGCGATTTCAGCCTCTAGACGCCCTAAATGATGCAAATAATTTAGAACCTGTCAAGTAAGACCTCACAATTATAAACCCTTAAGCTGTCTTTTTTTTTTTGGCCGAGATTTGCATGGCGATTGAGCTACAGTACTACTCGGGGTTTGTTGCCTTCTCTCTCTTCTTCAGTCCCAAATTTTTGCGGACTCATCAAGCGCCCCAGCTCTTGCAGACATTGCTGTTATTATCATTTATATTATCGTTTATATTATCATTTATCTGTTATTATTATTGTTATAATTATTATTATTGTTATTATTTTTTCTGTTACTGTTGCTATCGTTGTTATTATTATTGTTATATTATTATTATTATTGCTACTATTATTATCGTCATTATTACTATTGTTGTTGTTGTCGTTGTAATTATTATTATCATTATTATTACTATTATTATTATTATTATT